AATAGATACAAAAGGTAAGGTTAGATATTAGGTTTTTCTCTCTACTCTTGTATTTTCTTCCTTCACATTAGTGAAATTCTTCTCCTCTGCCAATGGATTTTCTGGGGTTTTCACGTAAATCTTGGTGTTCTTTTTTTTTTTTTTTGTTTTCTTTTTCATTTGTGTTTATTTATTTGAAGATAATCGTTATGATATTTTAACACCCTCAATGTTAACATAGTCTTTCAAACCTCATACACCCAAAGTGAGGAAGTGGAACTCATTTGTGCTACTCTCTTCAACCAAAAATTTTCCAAGGAGGAAATTTGATGTGATATTGACGACCACATTCTTAGTGCTTTGTTCACACCATTGAGGATTCCAATGATTGATTTTAGTGGATTTTTATTTAACTTATGTTATAATCTCATATATGTCACACACTTAATAGATCAACATGTTAGTCCAACTTTTATAAGCATGATATTTGCATTACACATTCTATCATTGTTGCATTCCATTTATTTTATATATTTGCATAATACTTCCTCCATCCTATTAATTGTGTCTCATATTGACTATGCATATACAATTAGGAAATATATTTGATTAAGAGAAATGACAAAAATATCCTTAAAAGGTGATTAATAGATTTGAAAAAAATTAATTTTATATGTGTAAAAGGGTGACACATATAAGGGTAAAAAAGAAAATATAAGTGTTGTTGTTTGTTGATTTTCTAGTAGGATTCTTTGAATGATGTAATTTAAAAAACCAAAAGAGACACATTTTTTGAGTATATATTGTATGATGCATACACATATTCATTTCATAATATATGTTGCATGTTCATGTAAGTTACATATGTAACACCCCTTTCCTATATCCGTGCATGAATATGAGTTAGAGATGTTACATAACATTTGTAAAACATTTCTTATTTGAAATTGGTAAAATTTTGTTTCTTTTAAAATTGTTAAATTTATCATTAATCATGAAAAATTCTTATCGCATAAAATTGTAATATAATATTTTAACGTTCAAAATGAATTCGGTTTCAAGCAGCAACTTAGCAGTTCAATACTATTTTATATAAAGAGTAAAACTGTCTAAAAAATGCTTAATTTATAATTCCTTCTTATATTTATAAAAATATAACTTTACCATAACATACACTAAAATTGATTACTTTAATTATATATTTTGCTCACTAAAATCCATGTATATAAGTTTCTATGACTCGTTTAAAACCTTATAATCATATTAGAGCATTTTTAATTTAACTTAAAAAATTATGACATATTATTGATTTACAGAAATTTCTTATTCATATACATGCTAGCTAGAAAATCAAAATACAATAAGATATCATTACTAATAGCTGTAATTATTCTTGGATGATTGATGTCAAGCTCAGCTGGTTACTCTACTTGCTCTTTTACCTATGCGTGAAAACCATCTCATGTTAAGTATACACTTAGTGAGGCATTATCAAATGTAAAATAAAACATATTGATATATAAAATATCCCAAAAATTGAAGTACATAAAATATCATATAATAATATATGATAATGTAAAAACATATTTTCAAACATTTTTTTAAAGAGAAATTTAAAATTCAACAGTTTAAAATCCATAGAGCAGAATGAACAATTTGAAGTCAATAGTTCAGATATAAGGCACTTTATGCCAATCAAAATATTTGATGAAAGCTTTACTTTTAACAAATCAAATAAACCTGTACATTTCACATTTATTTAACTGACAACCCAATATATAACAAATGAGAATGCAATGTATGTGAGTCAGACGATTGTGTGCAATATGCAGTCACAACTGTAAGAAATAAATTACAATCTTGGTGCCAAACAGAAATATATGTGTTGCATAACACAACATCACTATATTAAATCAGATATCAGATGTGGTAGCTCACAATGTCAAAACATTGTGAGACCCAGAACGCATATATATTGCCAGATAAATGTACACAAACGTACTAGATACAGAATCACTCCAACTAATGGCATGCCAATTGTGCAATAACTCTCAATGCACATACAATGGGCTTTATATCCAAAATTATATCTCATCCATTTATCAGAAGTATCCCTAGATACTAACATATCAAAATATTATATAAAGGTGCATTGGACAGTTCATACCCGAATCATCCATAAACTATTTAATAAAATATAGTATAAAAATATATTAGGTAATTCATACCCAAAATCATCTTAATACCATTTTGTAAAACAATATGAAAATAGATCAAAATACGAATTAAATTATTTTCTTTTCAATTCATTTGAGATTGAGTTATCGTAAGTCTTCCTCATATCATATATAAGAATAATAAAAATGCACTCACTTACTAGTAAACATCACTTTCGACACCCTTTATTCTTGTACATTTTCCTTTGCTTTAAACTTGTTTATATCTTGATCTCGGTCACAATCTACATAAGCATCATTTACCTAACACATTCATTCGAATCATAATTTAGTATCATACTAACATAAATGAAACCTTATAACAAAAATCATAAAAATTCTTTCGATACTTGTTTGATGCTATATCCATTTCATAACATCAATTCAAATCACAACACTTTATTATTCAAAATGACATTTCAAGTCCTTTACTATTCATATTTTCTATATATTCATAACTCATATTTTTAAATAATGTTGGTTTATAAATGGAGAGTGGTTAAATATTGGTGGAATAAGGTATTGATATAATTAATTAGTGAAAACTAAAACTAAATCCTGAAATTAATGGTTTGCCAGCTACAGCCAGCAATTTGAATCACTCTTACATGCTGTTTAATGTGTCTATTCTCTGCCAATCATTCAAAAGATTTTTGTTCCTAATTCTATCATCTCTACAAATGCTTGTCGGCGATTTTGTTTTTCCCTCTTTACCATTCTCTATAATTTATTTAATTTTATTAACCATACTTTTTCGAAAAATTAAATGAAATTAACGTTTAAATTTGCTCTATATTTTTAACGTTATTAATTAATCTATTAATTATATTAACCAAAATAATTGTTTTTCTTAAAAACAGTCACCATGCTTATATTAATTTGATTTTGTATTTAAGGATGTTTTCTTTTAAAGAAAGAAGTGAGTCCGAATTTTTTTTAGATTAGTTAACAATATTAATTATTCGAATCAGCTTATAAAATTATGAAAATGAAATACTAACTTATATCAAATTAAAATATTATACTAAAATATGAACATAATAAAAGAATGTGAATAATAGTTTAATTATTTATTTATGTCAATGTCAATTGTGAACCCATCAGACTATACAGCCTGTCTTCGTAATACGTTCTGCAATCATAATAAAAATGTTGGTCTAATGTTAATTTTGGTCCTCAAATGTTTAAGAAAAAGTCATTGTGTCTTTATTTTTTTTTTTTTATTTTTAATGAAATTAAACTAATTGAGAAAAAATTAACAGACCTATTGAGTCAACGTAAATTATTTTAATTATTTTTAAATTTTATAATTTTTATACATTTATAATTTTTAAATAATTTAGATATATTTTTTTAATTTTCATATAAAAGTTTAAATATTTTCATATATATATATTTTATTTTTATGTAAAAATAAAATAATTAACATTAATATTAATAGAAAGATATAATAATGTATATGAACTTAATAAATCCATTTTCAACCGCTAATTTGATTTAACAAATATAATTATAAGGTTAACAAAAAGTGAAAAATTTTATTAGGAAAAGAGTTAATTGCATCATATGTCCCCAAACTATGATCCTCATTCCAAATTGGTCATTAAACTTTTAAAAATTCTAATTTCATTCCCAAACTATGACTCTCCTTCTAAATTGGTCCCCAAACTTTTGAATCATCAAATTTCATCCAAATATGTAATTAGTTTCAACCATAGTTTAACATAACTTTTATTTTATTTTTCAATCATATACTAATATAACTTGGACTAACACTTTTATTAATAAGGGATGTGGTTACCATATACGCATAATTTGGGATAAAATTGAAATGTTCAAAAAGTTTGAGAACTAATTTAGAATGAAGATCATAGTTTGAGGATGAAACTGAAATATTTAAAAGTTTGAGGATTAATTTAGAATGATAGTCATAATTTAGAGATGAAATTAGAATACTTAAAACAATTTAGAATGACGGCCATAATAGAAGGAGCTATGATGAAATTAACTCTTAGGAAAAAGATGTTTGAAGAATGGCTAAACTTTAATTAAAAAGAAGAAACGAAAAAGAGAAAGGAGCTGACTCTTGTTTTGATTGTATTGCAAAAAAATGATAAAATAGAAGCAAAACTTAAATTATGAATTAGAATTGAAAATGGGCAGTTGGCTGTATCCTTGAATCTATTCCTGACATATCATCTTCTCTTTTCTCTCTCGACTCTCGACATATCCGAGGTACAAAATCTCTCTTGTTCTTTCATTCTCTCTTTTGCTCAACCCTCACTCTACCTTTCAATTTTCCCAGGTCCGTTCCATTTTTCTTTTCAGTCTTTGATTTTTCTCTTCTTTTTCTTTTGTAAGTAGGGGTCTTAATGATGCTGTGCTTTCTTTCTGGGTTCGTTCCAATAGTAAAAAAAAAACGAATATGCTTTAATGCCATCAACTGTCCTCTTTCTTATTTATTTATTTATTTATTTTGATTGGCTCCATCAACTCCTTACGTTGAATTTACACCTGAGAAACACACTACCAACAGAAGAGAAAGAAGAGAAAACCCGAGTTTCTCAGCTGTTTTTTTCTTGATTCATGTTTTTCTTCTTTTTTCATTTCGACTTACTGGGCATTGAACTGTTCCCAAATTGATACGTTTTTTCGGTGTATTGCCTTGTTATTTAATACAGAGGTTTTGTCTCTGTCTATCTGGTGCGTTATTGTTACTTCATCTGAAAAGGAAGCATTTCTTTTCTCTTTTTTATTGATTGGGGTCTTTAAATTATGTATTGATTTTGATGTTTTACAATCTGGGTAGTTGCAGAATTCAAAGCTTTAGACTTTTTTGAGTTAGATTTCCCGTTGATCCTACTTGTCAAAAGGCAGTCCATTGAGATTCTGAATTATGGTTGAATTTTCAAGTGTTTGAGATCTGGATAGTGTTAGAAATTCAAAGGGAGGAGAATGTACGCGGTGGGGCGGCTAGGTAGCTATATTTCCCGAGGTGTTTATACGGTGTCTGGTCCCTTTCATCCTTTTGGAGGTGCAGTAGATATAATTGTAGTGGAACAACCAGATGGGAGCTTCAAATCCTCGCCTTGGTATGTTCGGTTTGGTAAATTTCAAGGGGTTTTAAAGACAAGGGAAAAGGTGGTTAGCATTTCTGTTAATGGCGTCGAAGCAAATTTCCACATGTTTCTTGATCATAAAGGGGAAGCTTACTTTTTGAGGGAGGTAGATGGTGAAGAAGGGGAATCTGATGGTGTCCCTTTTCCCTCTGGATACGAAACAGATGAGCCTATGTCTGCTGATAGGATGCCAATGAAGTCCAAAAGTTTCAACTATGTTGCTGATAAGTCTAACTCTGTGGGTGAAGTTGATGTGAGCAATGGGAAGATTTTGGCTAGGACTAATTCCCGGAGGTCACGGATATTTGGATTTTTTGGACGGAGGTCGACGACAAAGGAGAATGGTTACAAGGAGGGTGTTGATGATGCTGGTGTAATGAGGTTAGATTCGTTGGAGCGTGCTGATATTGCTGCTGACCTGTTGGAGGTGAAGTGGTCTACCAATCTTACCTCTAATAGATCAAATATTAATGCGTTCAGATTATCTTCTATGAATGATTCACTGGATAATAAAGGTTCTGAAGAGCATACAGGGATTAACTGTGAAGAAAACTGGTTTCCCTCTTCTGCATATGATGAGGAAGGGCAAAATAACAATGAAGAAAATCGATTTAACTCTTCTGTACACAATAAGGAGGAAAATAGCATCAGTTGCCAGACATTACTAGAGGAAACTGAATGCTGTAATGAGCAAAAGGTCAGTTCTCATTCTGGCCTTGAGAACCTAGAGTATTCTGTTGAGGAAGCTAGCATACGAGTGTCTAAGCTGCAAATTGTTGAAACCCCATCATTAGGTGAAGGTTTCGCAGAAGATAAATGCAAAGTAATAACCAATATTTCAGGAAGTATTGATAATCTTAGTGTTGGAAATTGGGATCACAATGAGAATGAGATGGGTGCTGTCTCAGGGATGAGTGGTCCTGATATGCCAAGTCAACATAACATTGAAGCATCAACGGACGAGCAGTTTGATGAAGAACTGGTCTGCCACGAAAGGAATGTTGTTTTACCGGTCTCGGGTAATTCCAATAAGGAAGTTGTTCCAGAGAGTCTTCAATCTTTTGTTTTCCCCAAAACATCAGAATGCTCAGGAATAACATTGGATGGTTCAGGTGAACAAACAATTCAAACAATGAGCATTTCTGATGTAGGAAATGGGAAAATACATATTCATGCCGAAACGCTGGTTACAACAATTGAGCTAGTGCCAGAGGTGAACTCTCTTCCAAAATGTTCCATGTAGTTGCACAATATATTTTAAACAAAATAGGATTAAGAACATGTTGCACCTTATTTAATGATATTGCTCTTTTGAAGGCACCAAAATTGATTTCAACTGCACTTGAAATGTTATGGACCTATTTTTTTCTTTGAAAAATATGCCGTTTATAATTAATAAAAAATCTTTCTGAACTGATGGAATAGATGCTTTAAATCAGGTTACAGTTCTTAAGCAAAAGGAGGACATGGAGTTGGATTCTGAAGGGATATTAAAAGTCTCAGAATCCTGCTCTCAAATGGTTAGTGTTGACCCTGTAATTGGTTTGGAAGAAATGAAGTTACACAACTTTCATACCACTTCCACCATCAGTGATTCGGCTGATCAAGCTGAAGATGATAAAAATACCAAGGACGTTGTCCAATATTCTTTGGACTCTGTTGATGATTGCTATCATGATCGTGACCCAAAGAGAAGTACTCCACCATCAGAGAGTTCCGAGGATGAACAATTCCTTTTCAGTGATCTTGATGGATTGGGACTTTTTGAGCCAGATTCTGTAAATAAAGATCTTCATCCTTCAACTTGTACAGAAAATGAAGGAAGTGATTTATGTAATGTTAATAATGAGTCATATTTAAATCCAGATAATTTTGTTCAGGAGAATTCATCCAATGATCTGGAATACTCAGTAGGAAAATCAAGGAGCAATCCTATTAGTATTTCTAGAAATCATAGATTAGCTGGTGAGAATGATGGGTTGCAGGTGGAGTCCCTCCCTAATATGTGGTCTCCTGATGTCATCTTTGATGCTAACAGCCATCTTCCTGTCAGCCATTCTCTGGACTCAAATTCTGAAACCATGAAGTGGACATCGATCAGGAAAGATGATTCGAGCCATATAAGGTCAGATGCAGACGAGGAACAACCATTAGAACATGAAAGGTCTAGTAGTGAGGGGAGCGAAACTTCAGGGAAGCCGAAAAATACTCCTAATAATCCTGCTGTTGGTAAGAGAACACCTTTATATTTTTGTTTTCTCTTTCTTTGATGAATAAGAGAACTCGGTTACTGTGTGTTTAACTTTCTTGAGTTTACTCTTTACACTGCTTTTTGACCTTTTAGGGAATGCTTTAAATTAAAATATATATCTTGGTCCCAAAAGGACAGTAGCAAATTACTCAGGAAATTAATTCTTTTTACGTGATGAATAAAACATATAATCATGCTAAAGTACATGTCATGCGTACCGTTTGTTTTGATTTTTAATTAAGCATTAAGGAAATGGTCTGTTGTTTCGGTGCAACTGCTCTCTAGGCTATAAGTTGTTGAAAGTGACATGCATTGTGCTTTCTGCAGAGATATCTCTTTGCAAACACTTACTATTTGAAGGGATGGGGGCTGAAGCTGCTTGTCAAGTATTTGAAGCTGAAAAACTGGATAGCAAAAAGTTTAGCTCTTTAGGTCCTGCTGTTGTGAAGAATGATAGGCTTGTTGTTCGAGTCGGTGGCCGTTACTTTCCATGGGATGAAGCAGCCCCCATTATTTTAGGGATGGTTACATTTGGAAGTGAAGAAATATTTGAACCCAAAGGCATGATACCTGTTGACAGAGTGGAGAAATCCATTGAAGGAGATCCATCAAAAGACGTGTCCCGTAGTGGTAGCTGGAGGCTTTGGCCTTTTTCTTTGAAAAGATCAAGATCTAGGAACACTGTACAACCGGCTACAGCTGAGACCATAGGTTTGGATGCTGAGAATGCTGCAGATGTTACTGTTGCCAGCAATGATGATAAACATATGCTTAAACCCAATCAGATGAAGAAGATGATCAGGGCAATCACTCCTACCTCTGAACAGCTGGCTTCATTAAACATAAAGGACGGGATGAATCATATAACCTTCACATTTTCGACCCCTATGCTAGGGAAGCAACAGGTCCTTTTTGTTGAATCCTGACTGGAAGTTGCTTATTCTTTTTGAAATCTTATTTAGTGTTTTGTTGTTGAGATCATTTCTTATTTATCACTTATTGTCTGGATGTGCTCACTCAAAAGCATGTATTAATCAGGTTGATGCGAGAATCTATTTGTGGAAATGGAACACTCGTGTAGTAATATCAGACGTCGATGGGACAATTACAAAGTAAGGATGCTTCTAAGATTTCCTCATGCAGAAGACCCTATTATGCTACTTCGTGTTTTAGATTGAGTACTGGCTAAAGTTTTCACATCTATGTTATTGAGTTCTTTTTCTGCAATTAAAGATAATTCAGTATATGCTTCATATTGCCCACTGCTGATTTATTGGCTTTTTATTTATTCTTATAATGAGCTGTGGCCTTTTGAGGTGTTGCTCATCGAAGGTGGTAAAGCTTTGCCACTGTTTATTTACTGGCTTTTTATTTATTCTTATATGCATCTTTAACATTAACTTTTGGTTAACTTGAGTTATATTTTGTTTGGTCTTCAAATTTTAATCTTGGGAACAAATTCATGGATGTCTTACATAACCTTTAATTTCTTTCACAGTGGTTTCTTCTATAATATGCTTTTCTCTTAAGTTCTTAATTGCAGCAGCTAGGGATTTTCCTGTTCATTTCCAGCTTCCCTAATTTTATGTTGTTGTTACAGATCAGATGTTCTTGGCCAGTTCATGCCTTTGGTCGGGATAGATTGGTCACAAACAGGTGTTGCACATTTGTTTTCAGCTATTAAGGTCTGCTGTTTTCATCTTCCATTATAATTTCTTAGTTCATGATACTTTATTCCTTGTAAATAAAAAGAAAACCTTGGGTTGGTGAACCATGGATAGTCTTAGTGAAGGTCCTTGCATACGTGCAACTTGTCTTATTTCAAATTGTAGAAAGAAAAACAATTCTATATTTTAGATGGATTCTAACGCATGATTTTGAGAAACACTGTTAATATAGTCAATGGATTAAAATTCCTCTTCTATACTGCAGGAAAATGGCTATCAATTGCTTTTCCTTAGTGCACGTGCAATATCCCAGGCATATATCACTAGACAATTTTTGGTCAATCTTAAGCAGGTAATCTATGCTAGTTTGCTGCTTTTGTTATACCAAAGTCATACTGTAAAATGAGTAAAAAAATTCAAAATTTCTTCATTCGGTTGTCCTTATTCTTTGTTTGCCTTACCACCATTGCTCATAAAAAGGAGAAGCTCCTTGACAAATATGTCTTCGTATCTGTAGGATGGTAAGGCTTTACCAGATGGGCCAATTGTAATTTCCCCTGATGGGCTTTTTCCATCCCTATATCGAGAAGGTAATTTTTTTTTTTTTGCATTGAAGAGACTTATATAATAGTTTTTTAGGGTTGCTTTTCTTGTAGCAAGATGGGTGACTGTTATTTGTGCTTAGTTTTCTTATTCAACTATACCATTTTAATTTACTTGTCTTATTAATCCTTTTGGATTTGTTACGTAGATTTTAATGTGGACATTAGTTATGTTCTATATCGTAGTAAATTTTTTTATATATAAAAAAGTGGCATATGAGTATCTAAATTGCCAACCCTGTGCATAATAAGGCAAATGACCTCATTCTTTTTCATCAATTCAATTTCTATTGCATCCCAGGACGATATGGTGGATTATCGTAATTCTGTGTCAACCTCTAGATGGATTTATGACATTTATGCAATAACTAGCTTTAGAAGCTGTATCTGTACCTTCGGAAATAGATACATGAGACCTACTATTACAAAAAATAAAATAAAATCAAAGTTTAGTTGTTATGACACTCCGAGCTGTAATAAGTTTTAAACGAAATATTGTTCTATTTTATTTTGCATCTGTTACATATTATGTAGGAAACTGAAAGCTTCCTTGGCATGACCCCTTTGAAATCCAAGTTGAAGTGGGCTTCAGATTCATTATTAATATGTTATCATTCTGATTTGGAGCATATACTTTTAACTCTTGAAGCTTATCAGAGTTGAGCATCTATTCTTATCTGTTTCTTCCTTCCAGAGACAAAGCCAGGAAACTTTTAGGAGGGCAGAAGTAAATAATAAAATTTTAAAGGGTTAAAATATAATTAACTGTTATAACTGGTAACTTTATCATTTTTAAAAGGATTGAAATCAAGATTTACCCTTTTAGAGGGGGCCAAGGCCACTACCTTGCCCCATCTGGCTTCATCCCTGCTTCTTTCCCCCTCCCGAAAAAAATCTCAAACCACATTATTTTGACTGAAGCATCTTTATTTGTTTCTCAGTTATTAGAAGAGCTCCTCACGAGTTTAAGATCGCGTGTTTAGAGGTTAGTTCTCTGATCTGACATCCTTAACTTCTGATATGGTATTTATGCTGTTAAATAAATTAATTAGTCTTTGCACCTTCTCGTTTTTCAAATCAGTTGAATGGGTTACGTGCAAGTCTAAGAAGAATCTAAAGCATTTTTAGTGATGTAAATTACACTTTTTAACAGAATATGATTTTAAGTGGAGTTATAAATAAATTTATATTATTAGAACTCTTGAATTAGTCTTTTGCTCGAAACACATCATTCCTTGTAATTTGAATCTGTCTTTAATATTCTGCATCTCGAGTCTTATCGTTGAAATTCTTTATGGCTTTGTAGATACTATTCGTTATGGTTAGAGATTTAAAAGCTTTCCAATATACACAGATAGATGATAAGGAACAGTGTGTCTAAAAATTGGAACATTTTTATTTTCTTACCATATATATCTTTTGATTAATAGGAGATTAAGGCGTTGTTTCCATCTGATTGCAATCCATTCTATGCTGGTTTTGGGAATAGAGACACTGATGAAATCAGCTATGTTAAGGTTGGAATCTCGAGAGGGAAAATCTTCATTATAAACCCGAAGGTAATTAAAGGCTTTCATACTTAAAGAAAGGCGATCAAGTACTTCGAATGTCACTGCACCGAACATTCTCTTCTAATGATTTCATGTTTGTAGGGTGAGGTTGCTGTGAACCGTCGTGTTGACACAAAATCTTATAGTTCCCTTCATGCTCTTGTTCATGGCATGTTTCCACCAACGACTTCATCCGAGCAGGTTTTGTGACCTTTCCTTTTCCATTTATATATAAGACACAATGACTGGTTTTCCGGAGCCAAAAATTGACTTCAAACCTAGTATGAGTGGGGCTGAATTCATACCTGTTTTATGGAAAGATCCTCATTGTCCCTTCTTTCTTCTAGATTTTCCATCCTTTGCTTGGGTGGCGCTTATTGATCGAGGTCTCACCTTCTGACAATAAATTACGTCTAAATTTGCTAGGTCTATTCATTTTCACCGTTTCGTCGCAACTTTTGTTGCTTAAATTCTTTTATTTCTATTGATTACAGGAAGATTTTAATTCATGGAATTTCTGGAAATTGCCACCTCCTGTCATTGACATGTGAGGTTTTCTACTAGAATATGTTGCGTTAGCATTCAGTTACCGAGATAAATGGTTCTGGAGCTATCCAGGTATATTTTGATGTCAATGTTGCCTGCACTTCCTGAGATCTCACCAGCTACCACCATTAAATGTTTATAACAAGATTACACTTGCATACGTAATCATGGCTGCTTGAAGTAACCTCCTCCATGCTCTTGAAAGTGCAGGGCTGGCCAACTCTGGGTTGTTCAAAGTAATTTATATGAAATTTGCATGGAATCTCAGGTTTTATATTGGCTTCACTGTAGTTGGTTTTGTAGTTTTGTATAGTGAATTCTTGTGATTCTAAAAACAGTTGAAACATGTATACATTCATGGGAGAAAAGGGCAGCTTTAATTTTTGTTCATAGGAGATTGCTTGTAATACTAGATCTACTTAATGAAAGGAATTCGAATTATTAACAGTGTTTGATTAGAAGAATGTATCAATAAAGAAGAAAGGAATAAAGGGATACGACTCAAATGAAGATTTTAAGGATACAAAATTCTCACGTTCAAGTGTTTCTCTGCGAATTCTGCGAGGTTTCTGATCTCATTGTCGTCGATAAAGCCATTGCCATTCACATCCACGGATTGGATTATTTGTTTGCTCTTCCTTCTAGCAAACCATCCGCCACTAGAGACTCGTATTGCATCTGCAAGCTCGTCTCTGCTAATCCGGCCATCCTTATCATCATCAAATTCTTTAACCATCTTTTGAACTCATTGATCGTCATTTCTCGCTTGCCATCGACAGAGTATGCTCGAGTTTTAATGGCCATTCCTATTGTCAAAGTCTGGCAAGTCCCTTCGGTGTACACTGGTATTGCTTGCTGGTTAGCTTGCCAACTGCCCCGGTGTACAAAAATTTGGAGGCTTCTCATATTTATACCATTCCCTAGTGCTTTGAGCTTTTACAAACGCTTAAAATCAAAAGGCATAACTTCAATTTAAATACGCAGACGCGCATTTAAAAGTTTAGGGTCAAATTGTTGTTTTGTTCCCTCTACTATGCTTAAATTAAGGATTTGTTCCCTGTGGTTCCATTTAACCATCTTTTATAATGTCATCAGTTGGTCCAAATGAGTAAAAGCATCGATTATCCCTATTTAAATGTCGACATGGATTTTTTTCTCTTAAAAATACCCTTGCCAACTCATTATACTGGCATCTTTTTTCTCTTTTTTTTTTATACTAGAAGTGTTTCACATTTTAGCAACAATAATGAATAATATTATCCTTTTGGAAAAACTAATGATATTATAAAAGTAGAGGGATCAATTATACCATATTAAACAGTATAGACTAGATCTCAGATTTGAGCATAATAGAGGGAGTAAAACTAGAAATTGACAAAAGTTTAGACAGAATTGTTAATACCCTACAAAGGATAGGAAGAAAAAAAAGGGGGTAGATTTATGGGTAGCTTTTTGCAAACGTTGCCTAATATTCTTTTATTCCTTCATAGGTTGGCACAAAACAAAGCCTATAGAGCCATTAAAGAAGTATTAAACCGGCTGATGGTTGTTCAAATCCAAGGAACCGGATGACAAGTGGGTTGATTAATCTATATGAAATTTTGTTCAGAGTTGCCGGCTACTGTGTCAAACTGCGATAGGCATATAAGTAAGAGTTTATGTTAAGAGGATGCAATTATAAAATTTTAATGATTATAAAATTATAAAATTTGAGAGATAAAAATAGGTTATAAATAAAAAATATATAAAATTTAAATTTTTTAGAATACGACTGCTTCGATCGACCCTCAATTCATCTATGACTAGATGTTGCGAAAAGGGTCATAAAAAAAATGGATATCAGACCAGCCAAAACTTGTACCCGACGCATTTAACTGTTACGAGCCCCTTGCGGCCTTAGATTAGAATAATGGTAGTGCTTTGTTATTGGAAACCAAAGGTTAAAGGGTTTTTAAAAAAACAAATTTAAATTTTAAGTGATTTTAAAAAAATATCATCTCGATTAATTTGGGATATACTTTTAAAAATCAAAATAAAACATGATTCGAGGAGTCGCTACCAACCTTTGATTAGGGTGCGATTGAACATCCAAAATGTTTTGTCATTTTAATAAAATTTAATTTAAAAATTATTAAAACAACATTTTAAGGTATGCGTACCAAAAATTGAGTTCGACAGTCAATACGTATGGGGAAGTATTAGCACCTCACAACGTCCTAATCGATACCTAGTCGATTAATTAGTTGTCTTTGCAATGAATCTTACAAGTTCGAATTTAATTTAATTTAAGATCCTCTAAAATATTTTTTTTTTGAATTTTAGAACTAAAAACGACGATATTTAATTATTTCCTATCGAGAAGAAAATACCTCTCATGCCTTAAAGCAATAAATTCTCACTCCGATCGAAATAAAGAAATATTACTATTTCATTCTAAAATTCATTATTAATTTAAATGCATGAATGATAATAAAATAAAACAAATTAAATAAAAAAATATCAATCCATTTAGAAAGAAGAATGATATTCGATTATTTAAAGATGTCGAGATCGGACATTTTATAAGTTCTAACGATCTTTTCTCAAAGAAATTTAATAGGCGAAAATTTCTTTTTCTATCGTTTCTAAATTTTAGGTGTGGTCATTTTTTATAGTTCCACTTAACGGGGTATACTTTCATCTTAAGATTATCATAAATGACTTTCTTATACGTTAAGGCAGTCACTCCACGACTACTTTAAAATGAAAAGGTATTACCCTTAGTCAAATTATTTGAATCAAGTCGAATGATGCTTACGAGTATATCATACATATTATGTGAAATGATATCATGTGGTTCATAAATTATTCGTTTACATACACATGTATACATAAATGTGTCAACGATTAAACAAACATGCATAACTAAACGAAAGAAATAATTATCAAAACAAAAATAATACCTACAAGATAAACATAACACATATTCAAGAAAAGGATAATTACTTTATACCACATCTAAACATAAAAATAAAAATAAAGAAATAAAAAAATAAAGCAATCTCCCTACAACATATGTTATATATTAAGCCATATATGAATACACGTAATATAAGGAAATAATCCTTGATAATATATATATATATATATATATAATAATAATAATAATTACTATATTTATAGATATGTATGTAAAGAAAACTTCACATACCATGTATAATTATATTTAATAAATATATATGATAAAATTAATTAAATGGAAAGACATAAAATAAATGGAAAAAGTGTACATAGTTTTGGAAATATAGAAACGAAAGTAATATTTAATAATAGGTAAAACTAATAAATAAATAAATAATTAAAAAGAAAAAAACAGTGTTTATAAACAAATCTATTTAAGAATTAATGCCTCAAGTATATATACATAAACATATAACTTACCCATAAAACTTAATATATAATAAAAAGAATAATCTTTAATCCTATGCAATTAATCTAAACATATATATACTATGCAATTAATGTTACATATTACAATGAAGTAAATGTACGCGTAAATATGGAGAATAATTTTTAATGGGCTAATATTAAAGGAAATGAATGTAAATGCCAATATGATTCTAAAATGGATGGAAAGTAAGCTTATTTGGTGATTGTATATAAATGAGGAAAAAACTAAAATAAAGGTGGAAACTAATAATATAATTTGAACGTAAGAATAAATAAGTAAAATAGTAACTTTGACTAGTTAATAAGTAAACAAAGATAGAGTCTAAAATTAAGTGATCGAAAAATTAAAAGTCCCAATAATAAGAATTGAAAATTTTAGGTGTATTAAATTAAAGACTAAAAATTAAATTGCTGAAAATGAAGTTCATAATACAAAAGGGCAAAAAGTTAAATAATAAAACAAGAGGAACAAAATCGCATGAAAATAAAGGTTAAGAGGATTATAGTGTGACTTACCCCTAGACTAGTGGCTAAACGCAAAAGGCGCTGAAAAAAGGAGGGCCAAACATGTAAATAATCCATAGCATGCAATATTAATTAGAGTAGTGACTAAAATATAAACCAAATAAAATTAAAAGCATGAAACTATGTATTAAGCATGTAGGACTAAATCAGAATAAATTAAAATTACAAGCAGCCATCAAAATATTAAACCATGCTATTTCATGTAATTTCAAGAAAAAATGGTTATCAAAATTAATTCATGGAAAAACTACAATGACCTATGTCATAAATAAGACACTTTCAAACACACAACAATAGTATGGACTATAATGCTATAAATTAAAATTCACAAATCAGACCATAAATTTAACCCAAGTATATAAATAAAAAGCACAGTGACTATGTAATACCCCAAAAATTTAAATAACGACCAAAATTTAAATTTTGATGGTCAAAGTAGAAAATTGGGAAAAAGTTTATGGAATTAAGTAATAGATTTCCTAAAAAGGATTCTATTCCATAAATACATAGATTATTATTGAGAGTGGGGTTTTATAGAAATCATATTTTTGTATTTGGAATTTTAGTAAAGAAAAATTAGAAAAGGTTAATGCCGATAAGGAATTGGAAATTCAGATCGAATTGGAATTTCACAAAAATTTGAAGGATGTTATAAAATGGTTGGAAATATTATTTTATATTTTAGATCAGAGAAATTTGGTTTGGAAATGTGCAATTTTTCAGATTTAACCAAAACAGTGGAATTTAGTGACTAAAATGAAAGTTTTAAAATTTCATGGGGAATTTCAAAAATCAAAGTCAAATTAATTCATCTTTGACTTTGAAAGATGACAAGGATGAGTTGTCATGGTTTTAAAGTGAATAAGAAGATTCATTAAGGGTGTTTTGGTATTATATCAATTAAATGAATATTATATTCATTATAGTGGAATTTATTTTAAACAAAGATGAAATGCACCCAACATTTCATTTCACTTGTTCATCTTCTTCATCCAAAGCTGCGTGAGTTTTCTCCAAAGGTGAGAGAAAGCTTCAACTCAATTTTCAAGCAATTTACTTAGGATTTTGAGTATGTTGTAAATACAAAATTGTTATATGTGAAAAACACTATCATCTTGTACCAATATTGCATGATAATCTTGTTGGTGTGCAAAGATCCCAAATTCTATAGTTTGTGTTCATAAAAAGGATCATGAAATTGATGATGGATTTTGATGTTTTTGAGGTAGTAGATTCATATTCAAGCATGTATGATGATTAGAACATGTTTAAACATGTTTAATCTTTCTAGAACTTGTTCTTTAAATTTTGGCTATGGAGTGTTTAAGTGAGAAAAATTATGGAAAAATTATATAAGGGTTGGAAAGGATGAAAGAAGTATTTTACAAGCCTTAGAAAATTTGAGGACCATTTCATAATTTTTGGAAAATTTGGGATC